TCATTTGAAAAAAATTTTTTTTTACTTTCCTTTATGAAAATTAATCCAAAAACTTCTATTTTTAAAAATTAATCGGTGCAATTATTTCTTCTTTTCTTTTCTTTTTTTTTTTCTTCTTTTCTATTGCATTTTTTCCTTTGGATATAATAAACTGTTGACCTTCAAATGACGTTAATCGTGGTTACAAAAAAATAGTGACCGAAACGTTGGCTAAAGTTTTGATAAATTGATGTAAGAAACCGAGATAATGTAATTTATGAAATGCATATCACTGACAAATAATCTTATTTTCAGACAAGTTTTTGTTTTTTTTTTTTATCGCCAAAGCGATTATCGTATAACGGGAGTATAATAAGACAAAAAAGTTTTAAAATATCAGATTAACATCCAGTTAACACTGATATTTAACAAAGATGAAAAACCTATTATGCTTCTGTCATACTACTCGGGTATCAAAATAACGAACTATTTGCTCATCAGACATTAACTACTCAGACACACATAAAGTTATTTATTTAAAAACTTTTCCTTTTCCTTCTTTTCTCAGCATTTCCCATAAACAGCAGAGCTCTTTTTCTTCTTTTTTGATGAAATATAGGATGTAATAGACAGAAAAATAAATGGCCAATCTTAGTTAGAAGAATAGCCAATGCTTTTTGTACTGTTCCATAGATATATTCGATTATGGATGTAACAAACAACAAATTTATTTCCACAGATAACAGCAAATTTTCTAGTAACGCTTTCTAATCACTACCTAAACTAAGGAAACAGTCAAAACTCGCTTGCAGAATATAATGCTAAGCCTTAAAACGGAAGCCTGGTATAAGAAAAAAAAAGATCAGATGGCAGTTTCTTTCCCCCAATTTTTTTGCAACTCCCAATTGTGCTACAGAAATGAATGTTTGTGTTAAAGTTTGGAAATCCAAAAATTTTTGGTTCCCAAACACAAAATATTTTTGTTTTGCTTTTCACACTGTAGTTCACAGTCCAAACAGACTATACAACTTCAACCAGCGAATTCCCAAGATCAAAATGCATGAAACCACCATCAACAGAAGACCAAAGAAAATCCGCATAATCTTCTTTTATTAAAGGTCTACATTCGGAAAATGATTTGGTATGACATTATCTGATCAAACCACCGCTGCATTGACCTTTTTCAATTATCGAGCATGTAACATACCGATTCCACCCACCAGTGATGGCGCGGCCAGTAGTCGTGCCTTTGCAGAACCTCGTTAACAACTTTAAACAGAAAATCATGACTTGCGTTCCCTAGATCGTCCGTAATCCCCACAGCACCTTTTAACGCTCGCTTTCCACCCACCAAATCACCCGATGGTAGACGTTATCGTAAAAAAGTAAAAAAAATAGAACCACCCTTCTACCGTTTTGAAAAACCGCCCCTTTTTTTTTTAAGCGAAATTTGGCTCTTAAGAGACTTAGACCTGTGCTTCTTGAAGCCCTAGATATCCGCAATCATCGGAAAATCTACTGCGGTTAGGCGGAAGCCAAGACTGTCTTAGCGAGATTTTGAAATCACTGCACGAGTTCTCACCCAATTGCATAAGTAGTTTGGTAACAAACAGTCAGCAGTCTCCCATATAATGAAGTGTTAGCTACTTCAACAACTCGAATGTCCTTCTTGCTTTGTCTCAAGTCACCAACTCGCAAAAATTCAATGTCGTGGCTCTGAATTCATCAGAATAATAGAATCTAACACCAAATAATGTCTTCCTCAGCCAAGAAATTTGTAGGCCTTATCTAAAAGTTACAAGAATAAAAAAACATCCCTCTTTCTGACCAAACTTTTAAACACCTATTTTAAAACAACAGTAGGCACCTTTCTTTGTTATGGCTTGTTTTGTCATGAAACATTCAGACTACTTTCACTGATAGCAATAGACACCCTCAGTGGAATAACAAAGTTGCCGTTGACTTCCAACATCTAAAATGTGTAAACAAATGCCAACATCCAAATTTATAAACTTTTTATTCTTTTTTTATTCGAACATTAAGTCACTAGCATGTTAACACCCAAAAAATGGGAGAATTAACTGTATGGCCTAAACCAATATTAAACTCACTTTCTTTCTTTCTTCCTTTTTTTCAAAAACGTGGAGACACAAAAGAAAGAACAATAGCAGCAAAAAAAAATTCATATTAAACATACAGATTTATACAATAAGGGATTTGAAACATTAATTACATCACAGGATTTCAATGATTTTCTTTAGGATATCAATGTTAAACTTGTTAAGGTTCAGCCCTTGTCAAGTACAAAACGTAATTCAATGCTAAAGACGGTAAACCTTCATAAAACTTTGGAAAATGAGCAAGAGATGACAGCTGTGATTCAAATTAATATGAAGAATATTGCATTAAAAAATTGTTTATAATGTTTGATGTTGGAATACAGAATTGAGCAACGCGGAAATAACTACCCTATCAAATGGAAATTCAATTTTTATGGAAGTTTTTGAAACAAACCTGGGACTTTTGACCAGGAAACTTATTGAACAATTTGAAGAAATTCTGCCTATATAAAAAAGGAACCGCATCTGCTTGTAATTCTCTGTAAAAAGTATCGAAAACAATCGAAAAAATACAGAAAACCCAAAAACGACTGATTATTTTAGATGACGGTAGAAGATTGAAAATAATAATAATGATAATAATAATAAACAACTAAAAGCGGTTCGCGAAACGTGACGCAACTTATACCGCAAAAATGAACAAAAGCTATTAAACGCGATAACAAGCAAACTTAAGTTACATTTGAGTAGATGAGCATCAACAATTTATTTCTGCAAGATGTTTATCAAAAACCAATGAACGAGAGCTTCATAAGTCTATAATGATAAATAAAAAAGTAAAAAAAAAAAAGTTATTCACCCGTTACCAAAAAAATTCAAATTTGAACTAACTGAAAAGTAATATCGAAAGATCAAAAAAGAAAAAAAAGATACAATTGTCTCAACTGTAGTTTTTTTTAGCCCTTCCATGTAACAGTGGCACCTACATCAATCAATAACTATTTAAAAAACTCCTCCAACAAAGTCCGTCTTTTCAGTTCAGCGACATGCATTTGACTCTCAAGGTCTCCTCTTTCAGTACTTTCTGCTCTTTCTACCTTCCAAGATAATTCCTCAATTTCTTTCTCGAGCTGTGCTTGCTGATATTCGAACTAAAATTTCGGTATTTAATGTTATTCCACAAACTGTCGCCTAAACAAGTGTCGAATAAACTGTTATAGAGGTTACCCAGGAGGTTTCAAACCCAATAACTTTATTTTAAAGCTCCGGTTCAACGGATATTCAAGTAAAACCTTGATTTCAGATGTCTCAAACTCAACTCTAACAAATGCTTCAATGGAAAACCAAACCAGCTCTTTTTTGGATCCACTTTCCATATAATACGCGTAAGGATAAGTGTACTGCAGTGTGTAACGACACTTTGTAAGCAGTGTTGCAGCCCGGTGAAGGTGTTGCCAGTCTATCCAAGTCCCTTCATGTCCATTTACCTTCTCCTCAACTTTTTTCATTATGCTTTGACGCAACTCTTCTTCAAGCATTAGAGACTTGTGATGATTCTCATAGCGCTCTATGAATAAAAATTCAACAGTGACTGTAATATAAAACAAGGAACAAGAAATATGCTGTCAGAAAAATGATTAGAATGCAAATAGTTTTTTACCGAAATAATGCAAATACTTTTCTAGCGCTCTACGGGCTTTTATATGGTTCGCTTCTTGAGCAACAGCAGGATTTTCTTTATATCTGCTGCATTCGTAATATTCACTCCCATGCGTTTTCCAGTCTGTATAAAATGTGGGCAGGTGGAGTACTTATACTTCAACTCAACAAAAAAAAACTAGGTTTTAAAGCAGTGTAGATGATTAAGACGATGTTGGACAGAACGTTAGCAGGAATAAACTAGGTTATGTAAGATACTAATTCAACTTTTCATTATACTAATACAACTCCGAAATATACTGTGAAATAAAACTGAAGATATCTGCGACGCCATTATCGACTAAAACTCATATTCAACCGAAAAATACCTCCAAAACACATCCAGCAGAAGTGATGTTTACACTTTGCACATTGCATATGATTGCAACCACCGTTTTTTTCAATGCATGAATGACAGTTGGGGCAGTCTTTTGTATGGGCACTAAAACAATTAATCTAACAAACTAAAATTAAAAGCTTTGAAGTTAACTTTGAAATAATAAAATGGTCTTTGAGGTATTGCCAGCGTAACCATCCTAAATTCTGAAGTCTTATATTCACCTGATGTAGTTAGCTGTTTCGCTGTCATCAACGCATTTAATCAACCATTTGCGTATCGTTTCACATGATGTCGGGGCATGATAGTTACCGCCACATCTAACACTAAAAGTTGGAAAAAAGTGAATTAAAATAGTAGGCTCTGATGTCTACGGAAAAGATCTGCAGGGATGCTAAAAAGTTGAATATTTCTAATATTAACGACAAAAACACCCACCAAAACACAGTACCACAAGTTTCACAAGTAACTTTCTTGGCTTTTTCTCTGTCAGCCATCACAACAATTGGACAATCTTTCCCTGGACACATACGCAATTTTGGATGTGTTTCTATTTCCGCTATAAATGCTAGTTTCTTATATTTCTCGGTCGAGTCAGGTCGACCCGCTAAAACCCGCAAGGCAAAGTCTTCTAAGCAATATAAGGAGCACCCGTTCCCCATGCATTCAACTCTATAAACAGACTTAAAATCATATGAAAACATTCATATTCATAAGGTCATCAGACAGTACACAGCCAAGATCTCAATACTCTCATGGGCACTTCGCATGAAAGCTTAAATGGTATAACGACGATCTTTTACTACTTGGTTGCGAAAAAGTATTGTCTTAGAGAATTTCATAATTTTCAGCCGATTCCAGTCAAATTTACATAAAAACTCCACTGCATAGTGCAGGCGTCTTACCTCATAGACAAATTTTCTCCTAACTGAGTTTCAAAGTACATCTGCCAACACAACATACAATATTCATGACCACAGTTCAGTCCTAACAACTGTCCGCAATCTCTACAGTCTTGGGCGCATACAGCACAGTATGAAGAAACGAGCTTGGCCGTTTTTTTCACTCCAGCATGGCTATCTAAAAAACTTTATATCAGATGAAAAACGAAAATATACTGAAGGCTATGCATAAACAGGTTCAAAGAAGATTGTTCACCAAGTACTTGAAGTGTTAGTTGCGGAGTTACCGCTTTAGAAATTGTTCTCCATATTTAAATTATAACTAAAAACTGCAATAGAAAGAAGTATTTCCGGTTTAGCAAGGGACTTACCTATTAATAATCTTTGTCGGTCACTTTTATAAAGTTCAGTAATTTTAATTTCATCCCACTGATTCATCTCAAGTAGTAATTTGGCTAGTGATTGTGAAATACACAGAGAAGTAACAGTACGATTTATAATTTCGTCCAACATCATTCTTATCTAGAAACAGACTCCTCAAACCAGAAACCAAAAAACTGCTTTACACACTGATGACAATAACAAACTGTGCTTTAATATTACGTACAACGATAAACTCAAAACCACATCCTCTCCTTCCACCCATACGATCATAAAGGATAAGTGGTAGTCGACAAGTTAAGAAATGTGGGGTATTTAATAAATTAAGTAAAAGTTCCAAAACTTATACCTCTCTAAAGAGAATTCAAATACAAAAACTGCCCACAAAATACCTCAAATAGCCTCAAAACAAATAACTCCTCTCTGAGACAGTTTGAATTTTTGGAGGTCTCAAGACGATACAATGCCATAATACAACGCTATTCAACCCAAACTATCAAATTTTACATCTTCGACTGCTGAACATAACATCTGTTTCTTCGAAGGTATTCAATAAATCTTTTAAATCTTCAGCAAGCTTATAACAAACGCTCGGAAAAAAAAAATTTGAAAAACTGAGCAATTCGGTAGAACTTCATTAACTTTAACAAAGCTTATGATCTTCACAGGAACCCATAAGCTCAACTGCTCTACCAAAAAAACCTTACCTGTTCAGGCAGGCACCCTTAACTAGTTTCAGCTTGTATTTTAAAATCAGTCACTATTCTCTGGAGAGCTGAACAGAAAGATTATCAATATTTTAAACATGCTACTAATTTCCGAGCTTCTCTGTTTCTCGCTTTTTCTTTCTACTTTCAGGGCAGAGAACAATGGTCTTAAAAATGAAAGCAAAAGTGCTTTATGCTTATCCTACAAAAATAAGCCGATGTAGAAGCAGTTTTTGTGACTTTGTAATGCAGCAAATCAAAATGTATCTAACATATCCTGCATAAGTCACAGAGAAAAAAAAGAAGGTATACTCAAACCAAACATCCACATTTCTATAGTTCTGAAGGAACTGAACATGCGGTCTTCAGTTCCAACTCAGAACAGATTAATTTTCTTTTTTTCTGTCCCCAGATTTACTCAGACAAAACCTTCCAATTCATATGTTTGCAAATAATAGTCCAGATAAGCAAATTTTTAGTTATTATTATAGAAGACAAGGACTACTTTGATGCACAATATTGAACGGACTTTAAAAGCAGCTTCTGAAAAAAGTCTTGGACGGTTCGTAAATGCTAGTCAAATAGTAAACAATCAGTTAGACCATTCCCATTCCCACACTTAATCATAATGCCTCTCCACATTAGCTGTTGATTATTAAGAACCTCGAAAAAACGCAACAAGTAAACCCAGGTGATAAACTTTTGTCCCCTAGAAAGTTACTTCTCAGCCCCGAAGTCGTAAATAATGCTTTCTCCCTTTTCCCCAAAATTTACACTTTAATGCACCTGTTCCCCGTAAAATTTTACAGCATAACTACTGATCTTATGCCGTCCGTAAAAACTTTAGAGGTTTTTTTCAAGATGAACAAGAAATAAAAGCAGTAAGAGACCTGAGAAATATTGAAACAGGTGTACTGGATGTACTCTGGATCAATGTCCTCCTCCTCATCAATGAGGTCTGGGTCATAAAATTCTGCAAAATTCTTACCGAGTTTACACAAAAACGACAGGTATAAGTCAGATAAAAAAGTGGTTGCCATTAAAATTTTCATCCTTACCGCCACTAATCATATCATCTCCGGAATACGAAGAACTACTATCACTTCCAGAATCCATTCTTGCTCTCAACCCTAAAAAAAGAACAATGTAACGACTGGTTTTTTCACAACAAATCAGCAAGTGAGCTTCTGCTTTCATATGATGCTTTAAAGTTTTTATTAAAGAATTAAAAAATTTTAAATTAATAACAGATAAAAACAGTCTTTGTTTTTGTAAAGGGGAATTAAACAAAGTTTACAGAAATATTCCGCTTCCCACAATTTGAACTAGTCAAATTTTGATGCTCTGGCATAAACAACAGGAAGGCAGAAGAATCAAATGAAGACAACAGTAAGAACACTGGATGCCAGGCAGTGGTTCATTTGTTACTGGTTCAGGTAAACTTGAAGACTTAGACAGAAGTTACATTTAACAATCCGTCCCCTCAATCTTCAGAAACCTGAAGGGTGTTAGTTCGGAAAAAAAAGAAGAAAAAGAAAAATTTAAGCAGCGGATAGACTCAACTGCTGTCAGTAATCTAAATATCAAAAGGAAGAGTCGACAAAAAAATGTTTGGAATCCGTTCCATAGAACCAAATCATCGAAAACCCGTCCGCAACAGGCCGATTTAGACAGACAGCCAGTTCCTTACGGATGGCCATGGAAAAGTGTCAAAAATGCCTGGAAGAAAGCCAACTCAGTCTTCGACTTTTTATCCTCTGACACTGCTGGCAGTTTTATATCGCTGTTGCCTGGACGTCTCTAGGATCCTTCCAGTGGCAGGCTTGTGACACTGGGACTTTCGGATGCAGTTGATTTTTAAACGTTTCAGTCGTTCTTTCCATGATCAAGTCGTTTTCACGGTGTTGATTTGGTACCTAGAACTTTTTCCCACCTTCTGTTGCGGTTGAGCAATAGTGGCTTAAAGTTAAGGATTATAATTTGCTTAATTTCTCTGCAAGGGCACATAACCAGTTGCTACTTATAGTTTTTTGGATATAATTGCCAACTGGTCGTTGAAAGCCGAGGATTCTTAAAAATATTTAGAGCTCCTGTTAGTCTATTGATTTGTTCAGTTATATATATTTACAATATCTGTTTAAAGACATTTAACTGGAACAGTTTACAGCCTTTATAACTATATTATTATATTTTTATATATCTGGGTAATTTTTTTATTCCAGACAAATTACTAGTAAGTTTTATTGAAACAGTTAGTAAATGAATGATAGAAAAGAAGAAACGCTTTATAAATGATATATTTGAAAAGATTAGGGCATTAATTGGCAAATCAGTTTTTTCAAATCATTGTTTAGTTCAGCACATATTAATGTGTATGAATAGTGCCACCAGTGAAGGAGATGAGTCCGACTGATACATGCTTTTTTCTTTTTCCTCCAAAAACGCATGTAATTCATGAAGATATTAGTACTTTGCTTGTTCCCTCACTTTTTTCGTTGTTATCCCACACTTGAATTATTTAGGGCTTTGTTTCATCGATCCAATGTAACACATTTTGTCTTCAATACTTTTCACCACTTTGTCGAAACATGGAAGCGCTTTGCTTCTTTACTCTAGGCAGCTTTTGCGATTTCAGACTACATCTATTTATTCAAAGAAAAATAAGTTTGTGCAAAAACCTTTGGACGTTTCAAGCGGACTTGGTATATTAACTGTGATAACACGAACAAGTATTTTTGCGGTCTGGTACGAAGAACTGTTTTCGTTTTATTGGATAATCTTTTAAGCCAAGATCGATTCTTATTTTAGGGGATTATCGAAAACAAAAAAAA